CAAGAGTCTGCTTTTCAGAAAGCGTGGAAGTTGATACCCCCCCCCCCAGCCCCTAACACGACTGCCCGCTTCTCTGCTGTGTCGCATTTCTCCTTCAGCAGAGACAACACCAGCAGCAGCAGCCGAGAAACAGCTTTTATCTTCATTATTTTCCTGCTAATGTCTTCTCTCTTTTCCGTACGGAGCAAAACTCTGCCCTTACAGAGCACTATGATGACCAAACGCACCGGCAAGAAGCCCCAACAGGAGAGAATGTGGAAGGAAAAATAGAGCCAGTGTCCTAATTAAAAATACATATGTTAACTTTCAAGAATAACCAAGGAAACATAATCCATACTGAAGAGTTTACTTTCAGATACTTTAATGTTGCCTATAAAGTCTAAGTGCTGCAATTCCGATCTGTCATCTCCTGAATCCATTCAGAGCTATTTCAGTCTTTTTTTAGTGAGAAATTATGTAAAACACAATATCCTCAAAATTATACATATAATATGCATGACAAAACACTAGAAAAAATGCTGAGCATTTCAAATTCACCTTAATTTCACAATCAATTTGAGGAAAAAAATAAAAGTTAAAAGAATACGAACAGGTCACATCCAGGTGTACTGACAGCCCATGCAGCATGCATACTTAAGGCGGTTAATGTGAGTGTTGCTCAGAGTGGCCGTTCGCCAGGATTTGGCGCCTAGTATGTGGGGGAACACAGCGCTGACTGCGGCCCTATCAGCGGGAGGCAGGGCCCGGACTGGCAAAGGGCTCACAGAGGAGCTACTGGGTCTGGTTACATGGTCAGAGCTAGAGAAGCCTCTACTGGCCATCAGAACATGGACGACCCACGGCAAACAACCCACGGCAAACGACCCACGGCAAACGACCCACGGCGAACGACCCACGGGTTCACGTGGCACTAAAATGCCTTCATTAGTATTTAAAGCAATTTCATGCCGCAATGCGAAAGGCATACGGCTGAAAGGGATCGGGGACTGAACATAAGACTGGGAAGGACTTCATCTTACACCTTTTAGACATCGCTGAAGCGATCTGGCAAATGCTAAAAGTGCATCAAGGTCTATAAGTGAATGGCACACCCTGTAAGTCACTTTTCACAGGACTGCTTGAGAAGCAAATTATAAAAAATTAATAATAATATCATTACTACTAATAAACAAGTCGTACACTCTGGAGCCAAAGGCACTTTGCAGAACTGCACTTCTGAATAATGTCCATGCCCCGCCCCCTCCCCCCACCTTATGGTTGCCCTTGCTTTAAGTCTATAATTCAGTGTCAGTTGGCAAGGAATTTACAGAAATTGTACGGGTGCTATAGGTTAAATACCTATTAAGCTTTGTAACAACCTTTGGCTACTACTTCTGTCCAGCAGGACCTGCGTTCCTTCATGTTGAAGTATTATTAAATCTCATTAAAAATTGCCCATTCAAAGATTACGTTCTGGTACTAATTATTTCGGCATGAACTTGCACATGGCAAAGTGACACAACCGTCCTGAGCTGTAAGCAAATGCCTTATGTCAGAGGTTTCTCGAGGACATCCAGGGTATTTGGTCACTCGGAGTGCGAACCTGGGCACACTTCTTCCTTGGGGCTGTGTATAGCATGGGGGGCCTGGGAGGAGCAACGACCTTGTCTGAGGACAGAACGTGCTTCCTGAAAGTGCCTGAGCAGATGTGACCACTTCCTGTTGGCAGAGGCCGGAAGGGGTCAGTGTGTCATTCAGAGGTCTCCCATAGTGTGCTACGTTCACTCAACAGCAAGGACAAAGGGTGCAGCGGCGCCGACCCAGGGCTCACGCGCTGTGCTGTGCTGTGCTGAGCTGTGCTGTGCTGTGCTGTGCTGTGCTGTGTGCGGCACTCCCCGCAGCATGCAGCTTCACAGAAAGACAGCAGCTGGCAGGCCTGCAATGAACCTGCAGGTCTCCAAACATTTAGGTCTCAAAAAAGAATCTGTACTTCAATGCGGCACATATATTATACGTATCAGCATAATGATGATGTTGTTTGCATACAAATACAACATAGACAAATAGACAACAATTATCCAAATTAGGGGAGTTTTAATTGCATCTTGAAAAAATATTGTTTGCTTTTCAGGGGTTAATCTTTTCCTGTGATAGACAAGCGTCCCCTCACCCTTGCCCCCACCCCCCACCCCCCAGCTTTAAAAAGTAAAACATTAGGTATATTTCTTCCTATTGTACTACATTATATATATTTCTTCCTATTGTACTATTGTACAGCCTATTTAGTGTATCAATATTACCCCTGTGTTTATGAGCAATATAAAAACACTGACTAATTTGTTGAATTTCTAGAAAATGATTTATTAACAGGTATTGATTCCTTTCATACACACATTTCCCCCTATCCAGAAGTAGAGCCTTTCAAAAGCCGAAATGGAGTATAGTGAAGAAGCCATTTACCATAAATTTATTTGGGAATTTTTTTTGAGTGTTCACAGACCAAAAAACAACTTAGCAAATCATACCAAATAATACAGAAAATCAAAAATAACACTAACATATAGTAAAAGCAGGAATGATATGATACGATTAGCTCCATTATCTTCATATATATGGTTCATCGCTGACCGAAATGTCGTTATGCAGCTCGTGACTGTATATCTACAATTGGCTCACGTATAACAGAATGCTAAATGCAATTTTTGCTTTTCTGCTTTTTTCGTAAAAGCGAAAATCCTCTTCGGATTCCTTTTGCTTAGCGAAAACAGGTGCTAATGTCGGTCTTTCGCAACAGTGACGTAAAGCAAATGTTCATAAAGCAGCAGATACCTGTGTGCCAACAATACGCATTTTCTTGCATTTGTCACAGGCATCCTTTCGATTTGACATGGCCTGCCTGGTGGGAATCCCTAATCACCGCGCGAGGAGGCCGAAGCAGCGTTTTAGTTCCCATTCCTGTTCAAAAACAATAACGCCACAATTCCCACAGGTCCCTGTATAAACGCCCTGTATTTATTTCCTCAAAGCTCCATATTATTCATCGCATGGCATGGACTGTAAGCTTGGAGAATTTTAACTATGCACTACAGATGATCTCTGGGACTGAAAAGTTCTAATTTGTGCCTTTAGTCTATAATTAGGCCTATCCCCCTCCACTTCAACGGTACTCCAAGGAAATGCAGCTAATTGGCAATAGAAAAAGACGAGCTCAAGGCCAAACCACATGACCTCAGTAAGTGGATGTACTCTCCTGGCTCTAAAACAATGAATTGCGTTCACTGCTGTCACCATTAGCCGCTGTTCCCTTCAATCACATCACAATATCACCCCTCCTCGGCTGCTCCGTTCAGTCACAGTTGAACATCGATCGACCGCCATCAATCACTCCAAAAAAGCAATAATGAACAGCAAACAAATTCCACCTGCTTCTGATTCCAAGCCATACAAACACACCAAGAGTCAGCTATATAAAAAAAAACTGCAGTTAATTAGTGTGCATTATTAGGTCATTATTCCAGCTTTAATTATTAGGTGACAATGGCTATCATCATTCACTGGTTAATAGATAACAGCAATACAGAGCTACTCATGAATGTGTGTGCGTACACACACACAAACGTTAAATTCACTCAAGAAAAGAGGAATAATAAAAATACTTAAATTAATTACAGAGCTGAGATGGTTTGTTAAGCATAACAAGAACACACTGAGTAAACGACCCCAACAAAGCAGCTTGACAAATATCTCCGCTCTTCAGTTTCAGTTAAACAAACACTATTGGCCCTAATATTTGTTATATAAATTGTTTATTAAACAGGAAATAGCTGAAAGGCACGCTGACTTCATCCACGTGATGCAGCTGTGACATCACGATCTGAAATCCGATCACCGGCCTGACATTAGAATGGGCCGAAAAAGCAGCACTTCGGGTAATGGTAAGAATTCTCCAATTCAATCAGCATTGTGCATTAATTTTATGAACGGGTGCAAAATTTAAACGTAGAAAATTGGGCAATCTCAGCATCTATTTATCTGAGTTCTGGGTAGCAGAATAAATCAAGGCCCGGTTTAGGAAGTATCCTACCCTATCGACTTTTTCCTCATGACGGTCTTTGACGTTAGCATCCGCTTATTCGCATTTCCTCCAAAGGGAATTTCAGCTGCCGACTGCATCTTCCCCGGTGGTAAAAGAGCATCAAGAAAACCCAATTTATGGTTCAGTAAGTGGTTCTAGGCAGCATGGGAAACTTCTTCGAATAATGCGCCGTTCTTATCGATACGCGAAATCACCAATCCTCATAATCAGTGGTTTGAGGAGGCTATTACACGTCTTTGTTTGCTTTCACTGGTCTGGAAATCACTGCTCCTCTGGCAGTATCGCCTCTCTCTGCATCCAAACACAATGGTTCATGAAATACTCGTTTCCTCATGTTCTTTTTTTAAAGAAAGGCGAAGAGGAAATACTCATACAAACCCCCATAGTCTGATGAGTAATTCAAAAACCAAACGAAAAATTAACCTCTTGCCCTAGCAGCTGACTCCAGTCCCTGCTTGACTGATCCTCCTCTGGATTGGACACTCCGGCTCAAGGAAGCTGAGTGAAGTACTACCTTGTCAGACACCTACACTTACAACCGCAAAATGGCTTTAACCTGGATTGATAGCTTTTTCTGGTCCAACACAGATACGGACAACCATTCAAAAACCATACCACTCTGGCCTACAAGATGTTCACTGCAGGAGAAACAAGCTACTACTTCATATCTACTCTGCATCTACTTTGCAAATAATTCAAAACATATTCCCAATCACTGACATCCGCAATGACATCTGTGGCACAGGCAGGCAACAGGGAGCTCAAATCAATAGCATTTGTGATAAGAAAATGAAAACTTATCTAGCTAGACTGATCTAACTTTAGTGTGGAGAACATAGAACACAAACTGGTGCAGCTGACAGAGTGGTGATTCTAGGAACTGCAGCAGAGCCAAACCGGCTCGTGTAGGGTAGACAGTACTCACATAGTCGTGAAAGGCCTTGGCCTCGCTGGAGTGCTCGCACGTCTCTCTCCTCTCGGGTGCCGCACAGTACAGGTCCCAGAACACACTGCAACACACAGGCCAATCGTGACCAACCGCAGGCTCTGCCCCACGCTGCTCGAAACACGCCAGCTCACTAACATCAACACTGAATTATGCCCAAAGACTTTTACAGGTGTCGGCACTCTCGTCCGTTCCTTGTCTTCCCTCAATTTCCTAGAGAGGGACACAGAAACGTTCAGAGATACCAAAACATGTTATAAGCATAGAAAGAACCACTCACCACCACCAGGAGTGCAGGAACCCAGGAGGTTCCCCCAGTGTGATGTTCTTCTCCCATCGTATCTTGGGTGAAAAACAATCAGGTTGTTAAGAGGACGCCACCTGGGGAGTCACACTCACAGAGCCGAATGAAAGAAAAGATGAAGATGAAAAGACTGAGCAAGTAGACATTAGGGAGAGCCGCTTTGGCCGAAGGTCGCCGGGCCGACATCGAGCGCCGGAACTCGGCCTGGTGCCACTGTACCAGCCCTGTTTACACTGTCCTCATTTATGCTACAATTATCACTTCTGTATTCATTCAAGGGGAATAAAAAGTAAATAAGGTCAGATCAATAGACTTTAATGAGACTTAATTAAAAAAGTAATCATAGCGGCTCTGGACGAAGCCCGACTGTGAGAGGCTGGAAGTTCTCCAGAAGCCTATCAAACCCACTTGTTCCTTTAACTGCATTGATTTATTCAGTGACCTGCCCATCTTCTCTGTGTATATGGCGCAACATTAACCACAAATTAGTCACCTGTTCACTTTCACATCATACAGTGACAGCAATGATTATATTTAAGAAGGCTACCACCACTGCTCACTTACTGAATGACCTACCACTATTAATAAAAGACTGAAAAAAATTAAACAAATTTCAATATTATTCAGTTAATTGATTAACTTATACCTTCTGGCACTGAGTTCTTGAAATAATGTCAAGTGGGCTTCATTATAACTGAATAAATTTTCCTTTCAGCCTAAGCCAGATGTCAGATGTATTGTGACGGCATCGGCTATCCATTGTGTGCCTGGCGTTTGCAGCCTTATCTATTGTTTTGCACTGTGACCTTGCTGCAGAATGAGCCCCTTCCTGTAAGGTGATATCACTGTGCAAACGCAGCCTGCAAACTGACCACACTGGCCACCATCGCTGCTGTTTGCGTTTTTTGTTCGTTTTGGGAATCTCATGTCTCTGTCCTTTGGTGACTGTTTTAGAAGCATGAGTCATAACCAAACGGTGAGATCAGACCCCCACAAGAAAAAAGAAAACAGAAAAAAAAAAAAAAGCATAGAAAAATGCTCTGTGTACATTCGATCCTGGCTCTTCTCAATAAGCGAGTGCCGCTGCTGTAAATAACATGGGCGTGTCGTTCTCTGCCGGGATGAAAACAGGCATTGTTTCGGGAACGGCGGTGCCAAAGCCTCTGTGGAACGTACACAGCACCGCCATCATCTCCTGTTTGGCCAGTACGGCCATAAGCACGGTCAAAACTAACAAGTGGCAAGTGGGCAATAGGATTGTGTGTTTCTAAGCATTCGCTGTGTTTCATTCATCAAGCAAATTAGAAGACCATGTCAGAACGTCTTAGGTTGAAGTTACTGCAATTGTTGTGGAAAAACACGTGCGCCACATGAATATAATGCGTGATGAATATGAAGGCTGGAAGATTCAGGTTTCTTATTATCCACCCCAGAAATGCTGAAGGGAAAATTCAGTCATTGTACACACAGGACTACTTGACTTTCATATATCATCTATTGTTGAATTCAAGTAACACTTAATGTAACACTTTGTATAAAAATGGACAAACAACTGCTGTTTCGCATTGCATTCTGGGAAACATTCTGTAATCTAGATTGTAGTAGAGCTACAATCTCTCTCCCTCTCTCTGATCTTGTAAGTTCAGAATGACACCAATAACAAGCATGATGAAGAATGGGTCCTGACATAGATTATTTCTAAATGTGTTTCTGTGTCCCTCTGAACCGGTTGTGTCAACTTGTTGCAGCCTCACTCATAAATCCATCCACATACTGCTAATGTTCAAGTTCCCAGGAACTAAAAACCTTTGTAATTCAAGCCTGCGCTGCAAACCGCCAGGCCCTGTGGCCCGATAGGACTGACGTCAGTTCCTTCCGTTTCAGCAGAGATACTGTAGGTGGGGTGGGGGTGGCCATTAAGCATAAAAGTTAACTGCTATGTCTCTAATGCAGGAAAAACATAATTAATACATTAGGAATCGCGTTTTAATAATTGCTATTGAACTGCCATTGAATAACTTCAATGATGGTGACTTAACTGTCACACACCAAAACAATTTCCACTTATAAAGAGCAGGTGTTTTGATCTTTGCTGTTCGAGTTAGTACTAAGTTTTACAGAAAGAGACTCCAAGAATGCAAGAATGTATAAAAACAGGGAATTTTAATGATAACTGTCAAGTTGATCCCTTTTTGTGCACTGATATTCAAAGATCATTTGTCATATTTTAACATCATTAAGATTAATAAAATAATGAAGCAGAAATTAGGACAAGTGTGGAAAGCAGATATCCATCAGGGCTGAACTATCTGGAACGAAATTTCGCTGAAACACTTTAGCTATTTGGATCCGCTGCACTAACTCTCATCCAATCCCATTAAAAGGGCACTAAACAGCTAATGTGTGCTGCTTGCTCAGCATTATCAGGTGTGATTAAATTAGCAAGCTCCCTTATAGCGGGGGCTGGCTGAGTGTTCCCTCCCCAGGACTCATCGATAACGGCCTTAAATAAAGCCCCCGGCTTACCTCCGACAGGAAGGTCTGTGCAGACTTCTGGGCTCCTACATGCAGCAGGTATTCGTACACATAGAGGGCTAATCTGTGGGGCGGGGCGGGGCAGGGAGGGGGGACAGGAGCAGGTGTTACTATCGGCAATAATGTACATAAGACACAAAGCACATACACAGACGGCAATGGATATCAGCTCCATGCAGAACTCAAATCTGGACATTACATTTTACATTAAATGATACATTCTGAAACAAATATTATACAAACTGCAAGCGGGAGATGGTGATATATCCGATACAAATTAATGGAAAAAAAAGTATAGGTCACAGAAAAATGTCACTCATCATAAAGCTAAGCAAGTAATCTCTGCTCAACAATGTTAAACATTATTACCAAAAATGATAGAATTTAATTAAGCCCTATGTACAACTTGGAGCTGAAGATGCTTAGAGCTGAGGTATAAGTAAACTTTTAACATGGGCCCAACACTACACTGGAGAAAGATACCCAAAAAAAAACACACAACCAGACAAATAACAAGGTTCTATGTTCTCAGTTCACATGCTTGCCTACACCAGTGTTAGAGTTGGCTTTTTTATCACTACCTATCCATCTTCCAGGGCTACTTATGTGGTACAAGTTTCCGGTGATCATGGAGCCAATCCCGGGAGGCACAGGGCACAAGGTCGGAGACGCCGCGGGCCGAATGCCAGTCCATCACTGGGCACAGACAGTCACACACCATCACACATTATGGCCAATTAAGTTACACCAATTCACCCTGCTGCTTGTATTTACACCGTGGAAGAAGCACAGAGTACCCAGAGGACATCCATGCAAACATGGAGCGAGCACTATGCGCATAACCAGCAGTTCCACATGTAATAATAATAATAATACTGTTATTGTTATTATTAATATCATTACTATTAATATAATATCAACAACAACAACAATAATAGCTATTATTATATTTTTATTACTGAATCATTTAGCTCACGGTTCAAGCATTTGTTCTTAGTTATAAACAAGGAAATTAAGGACATAAAGGAAAAAAAGGTATTTATCCAGCCTTTATATAACAGTTAGAGGTAAAGTATATTCATGAAGACTATTAGGGAAAGCTGAACTTTAGGAAAGCCTTTCAAAACTGCACATCCTGCAGGTGTTTATTACAGATGAATGCAACAAAGGCATTTGAACGCTAAAAACATACATTTTATTTACTAAACAATTGAATGTGTCTCTTATCTGACTAATGCGTGGCAAAGAGATAACCAGATTAGCAATAAATCTCAGACGAAAACAGTTTGTCAAACATGATCTTGCAATTTATAAATAACATATAAATAGCATGACACAGTGCTAACTGATGAGTGTGGCCTGAGACTGAGTATCCTGCTAATGTTCAGGCCGACGGTAATGTAACAATGTAGCGAAGCAGAAGATGCCAGAGCGGCGACGGAGTACACACAGCCGGGAGGGCCTGCCGTCCGCCTCCCAGCGCAAACCCAGGCTCTGCTTTGAACTGCTTGCTTGAGTCTGTGGAATACGCCTAAGGGCTGTGCTTGCGTATTGACTTTTTAAAAATGCGCTAAAAACTAATGTCTTTAATAACTATAAAGAAACAAACAAAATACACTCCATATATTCAGACCCTAATGAGAAGCTTCAGAATCCAGCTGTTGAAAGCTAAATGCCTACTCTGCCGGAATCTGGCCTAAAGGAAACATTCCCTAATGACGAGGACAGCGAGAGCAGAAATGACAGGTCAGTAAAAAATCAGACAGGTTCCCTTTTAGTTGGATAAGACGCAGCGTCTCGGGCCGCTGTGCCAGACCAGCCGCCGGCCGCTTCTTCAGCCCAGAACTGGGACATCTGCACACGTCGATGAGAAAAAAAATATGCAGCTGAATTTTCCTTTCTTTCTCACCCTCACTTTCTCACTCTCTCTCTCTCTCTCTCTCTCGCTTGCTCCCTGTTTTCCCCGAAGAAACAGTACAAGCTAGAAGTGAGCGGGCACAATAAAAGATTAATCAGAAGAATATCTAAGGGCTGGATCTGAAGGCTTAACTCGAGAGCAGCATGATGTGGTCCACGAGAGGAACGCACAGCACTTTCTGCTCAGGTTCTTGTACTGGGGTCAACAGAAGCTCTTGGTGGAAAATTCTGCTTAGGTGTTTGAGTGCTAATATATTCAACAAAGGTGATTATAATTCTGTGTTGATATCATATACTGGAAAGACATTACTGTGGACTGTGGTCCACATTTAAAGAAACATTTTTTTCTTGTTTTTTTAATTACATTTTTCCAAGGTAAGGGTAAGGTACTGTAGCATTAGCTAAATGAATGCCTTCAGTTAAATGAAAGCCCCAAGATAGACTGACAAAATTTGCATGATACTCTCTTAAAAAATGCTTGTACGTCTAGAGGTCAATTTTTGTACAAAGCAGCGATGCACTAATTACATTTTCTCTGGCCGATACAGATTCCCGTTTTTTTTTTTTAAGCGTGACCTGCCGATACAGATCCTGGCCGATCAGATTTTCATAGTTTAATAATAATTAGCCGACTAAACATTTTTTTAAACTTCTTTAATGAACTTGGCTTTCTGCGAGCAAAATATTTGAAATAACCTTTTCGAATAAAAATGGCTCGGCACGTATCGAATTTAATTTATTGCTCCAAATTTTTTTGGCATAGCTCCTCCACAGCCAACTTTTCATTCACGTCTAACACGTTATGAATTACTTCTTCATCCAACACTGTAAAGAGCCTGCAAACAACAGACATGTTTCCAGTAAGTGCTTTACCTTACCCATTATACTACATTAGTGGGGGGAGGGAAGACAAGGGGCGGGTGACATGATTATGAATGGAAACCGAGAAAAAAAGTAATGTTAGTAGGTAAAGTACTTGATCGGCTCATTATATTGGCCATATTTAGAATGACTGATTGATTGCTGGTCGACATCGATCGGGGTGAAAATCGGCTATTTTCAGTCACTAATTGATTGGTGCACCCTTAGTAAAAAAGTGACATGCATCAGTTCTGATGCAAGGCACCAACAGGGTATCCCATCCTGAGAGAGAACTCAGTCGCACAGATCTTGCTTATACAGTGACTGTTTCCAGTCATATAAGACCATCACATGGCTACAGAATATGCTCACTTTACTGTGTCTTAGATGAGTACCACAAGTTTTAGTGCAGTCTCAGCTGAAGGACTTAATTTAATGGTAAGTTGTCACCTGGTGCTTCATGTGTAAATGAAACACAGTCTAGGCTAAAGGATCTTTTTTTTCCTCAGAGAAAGGACACTTCCAGAACAGTGCTATAGCTAGTGATGTCTTCCGCATTTCCAAACAGGTGACACATTGCGCCGACCGTAATGGCCGCATCCTGTCATCTACCCCCACAAGCTCCCCAAATACTCTGCTCACTTTGACCTTTGCTGCTTACACAAATCCACCTGTAGGGCAGGTAGACACTTGGATGTTAAACCTTGACCTCCCGCCCCCCCCAGCAAGGCCTAAGGGCTGTAGGGTATTAAAACCACTTCTGGAACCTTCATATTACCACATTCACAGTGCAAAGAAAAATACTTTTTTTATTTTATGCTTTTAATCTACAAAATCCTTCACCCTGACCTTTAAAACTGCATCACCCCGAATTTCATTCTGAGAAGGTGAATGCCTACTTAGAACACAACTTTATTTTTTAATACACGTTATATATGAATAGGATGAAAGAAAAGGAGAATCATCATCGCATAAAAGAGGAGCGATCCACCGGTCCAAATTTGCACTCTAGCATTTATCATGTAATGAAACATAAAAGTCAAAACCCCGCATTGCTCTTTTCAGACTTCTGGTTTGGGACTGAAACTGCAGCTCCCTGCATTACAGTGCAACACAGTATGTGAGTATGAGACCATCGCCTGACAAAGACAAACATATACAACGTTACTGCATTTGTCATTAAAGGAAGTTTGAAAGAGGTATTCGATATTTTATACTTCATGTTAAGAGACGTATGTGTCAGTCCTGTGGCATGTAATTCTTGTTACAAACGCAGAGGGTAGAGTGCAGGGTGAATTTACTAGGGGGACACAATGCGTCCGGCTCTTTGATCAGACCCACAGAGTAAGAATGAGACCCAGGCCCCTATAATGAAGAACAGGATATGCGCTCACAAATGACTGCACACTAAATTCAGTAATGTTTGTAGTTAATGGGAAACAGCTTGAATGCTCTGTGTCAGACATGTGATTTGCTTGATTTAGGTTCATTACAGAGAGGTGGCCTCTATGTGGACCCCCATGCCAAGATGTAACCAATGCCACATTTTGTTGATATCTGCCTTTTTAAGGATACTCTGTTTTACACTGCTTTACTGTTTTCTACTATGATCTGTCCACCTTATTGAAGTGTCACTGCTGTTGACCACTATTCCATAAATTACGGTCAGTCCATCAAGTCCAGCAGCCTATACTTTGCCATATCTTTGCCTCCATCAAACCAAGAAACTCTTTGTTTGCTAAATGCTCCTCTCTTGCAGATGTGGAAGTGGAAGAAGGTGATCTCTCCATGCGGCACTACCATGAAAACACATTGAAAGGGTGGGTTAAAGCTTAGCAGCCAATCACTCAACCCATTCCTGAGGTCCTGACTGTCAACTCCTCCATGCTAAGCTATTTGAAGTCTTTTGACAGGGACTAATCATCCAGCGGTGTTCTACGGAGCAGGATTTCTCAGTTAGCTGGGTTAACTTAAACAGGAAGAAATTCTTGTCCAATAAGAACTTAGATAAAGAGAATTGCTGTTGGACAATCATGACTTCTAGCTTAAGTTAACCCAGCTAACTGAGAAATCCTGCTTTGTGGAAAACACCGTACACGCTTACAGTGTTGTATTTTTCAGACATGTATTTGTTTGGGGTTGGTTGAATGCCCCCCGCCCCCAGCTACACCCCATGCACTATTTTCATTTATTGTATGATATTGCTTATTATTTGTATTATTTGTTGCTAATGTGTGCTGAATATTTCTGCTGCTGTAACAGCTGAATTTCCCCTTTGGGGATCGA